GCAGGGACCTTCCCCACCATGTCCTGGGCCAGCGACAGAGTCCATGGTTACAGAGTCCATGGTCTCTCCCTAGCACCCCTGAGCACACCCTCCCCACCCAGGGCTGGACCTTGGGTCCCACACTCTCAGGCACCAGGTCATGACCTCTCCGAGCCCCCTCTCAGGTTGTTGGGGTTCACACCAGCCAGATTTCCCCTGAGCCTGCCCAACTCAGATGAATGCCAGGCAGGGGGTTGGAGCCCACAGTCTGCAGCCAAAGGAAGCAGTCCCCGGCGCTGGCCTGGCACCAGGTGTCATCGGCCTGGAACAAGGGGCTGGACCAGACAACCTGCAGCTCAGTATGGTCTGGGCATTAGGATGACCACAGGTCTGACCTTGGCCCATGGAGAGCTGGCTGCAGGGACCTGGGAGGACGATGAAGGTGACTCTCAGGACTTCTCAGCCTGCCCTGCTCCGAGTCAGAGGGCACCCTCCCAGCCAGGAGCACTTGGCTTTGGTGGAGGAAAGACCACAGAGGCCCGAGTCTCTGCAGAGACTGCAACTTCCGGGCCCCAATCCCACCCCACATTCCAGAACTTACTACGCAATTGCCCAGCAGAGATTTAATTACAGGACTGGGCTTTGGGCTGTTTCAAGGAGAGCCTATTATTTGGCTGTTTCTTTACTGGGGGAGCAGGAGTGAGGTGTTGTTATTAGATGAAGTGGGGACCAAGTAGCAACAGTACAGGGTGCTGAGCTGGACAGACAATTGGGCCCCAGCCAGGTCTCAGGGAACTCGGCCTCGAAAGCTGGCAGGCTGACGGGTGAAACTGCAACTGTGGGCGGCACTGCTCGCTGCGGAACCCGGGCGTCCAGAGACTCCCCTGGGCCCCCACCAACAGGGGGATGACACTGGGGTGTAATGGGTGACAGTGTAGGGGCAGGGAGAGCAGCCTCAAGCCCTTCTGGTGTTCACGCATCACCCTGCTTTCCCCTTTGCCTCCAAAAGCAAGGGGACCACAAGTGCGGAGAAATGAACCACCCCCAAGGAGTGCCCTGACCCGGACACTTCACATCCATCATCTTATTTAACCTTCATAACAAGTGTCTAGGGGGGACTGCTACCGCTCCATGCACAGCTGAGGAAACTGCTCAGAATTGGGTTTGTTTGATTGATTGATTTCTCCTATATGCAAGCTGTTTACCTTCCTTTCTTCCTAAGAAATGTCCCACAGACAACTCTACTCTTTCTGTTTCTGCCACCAGCACACACGTGAGGCCCCATCCCCTCCTGCTTGTATCAATTAACCACTGGATTATCCAGTTCACTAATGAACTAAACCCCCTCCCTTCGCCCCTGAGCCTACACTTTCGCCTTCCCATCCATCCTTCATCCAGATGTTAGATGAACATCCTTAAAACACAGCTGTTACCAGTCACCCTTGCCTGCACGGTCAGCCGTGCCTGCTCCTGGCAGCCAGGGCTTCTCAAACCTTAACATGCTCCTGAGTCACGTGGGGATCCTGTTCAAACAAAGATGCTCTCCTGGGCCCCATAATCCATCAGCTCACTGAGACTCATAATGACCTTAAATTAATAGCCTGTTTTACAGGTGAACAGACTGAGGCCCAAACAGGTTGCTCAGTGTCTGGCACGGGGCCAGCGTGATGCAAATGCTGCTGGTTCATGGACTACATCTCTAGGCTAAACTCTTCTGCCTAGCTATTCTTCTTTAATTTTTGAATAGGAAATATTTATATGGTTGGAAATTTAAAAACGTATAAAGGTCTTCAGTGAAAATTCTCCTTCCCACTCCTATTCTCCTCCCCACCCCCTTTGCCCAGTTCTCCCTACCACCCCCCTAAACACTTTTATTCATTTGTTATGGATCTGTCCAAAGTTTCTCTCTGAACAGATCTTATCCTGCCCCAAATGGTAGCATACTACACACACCGTTTTGTCAACAGCCTATCAGTTTATCTTGAAGATAACTGGACACGGTTGGCTGACTCATTCATTTTTAGAGTTGCAATATTATTTCATTGTGTGGATGTACTATAATTTATTTAATCAGTCATCTCCAGGTGGAGTTGTTTCTGGCCTTCCCAGCTGGCCTTTTTAAGTCTTCCACACTCCAGCCAACCTTGCTGTGACCTCCATTCTGTCCCCTAATTCCCAGCCCCACCATCCTGAGCCCCCGCAGAGGCCTTCACACGTCCTCGGCCCTCCAGCCCACCCTGGCTGCTCCTTCTCTGAACCAGAACCCACTGTGAGTCTCCTCCTCATTTACCACCCCACTCTTCATCTCTCCAAACAGATGAAAGCAACTTGAACTCAGGAAGCATGCCTTTGATTTCTCTGGATCCTTCACAGCCCAGAGCTGGGCACACGGCAGTTCTGAAGAATGTAGTTACCTAGTGGAAGTTGCATACGAATGGAGCCACTCAATGAGGGCTCTGCTGGGGCTGGTTCTGGGTGCCGGGGCTGGTTCTGGGTGCCAGAGCCAGGAGTTACCCAGGTGAGAGGACCTCAGACCTCAGAGGCCTCCAAGAAAGAAGCCCTTATCTTGTACCTGAGGTCTAGAGCACTGGGGTGGGTTGTGAGGATGTCCAGGGCATGATGGGGCATCTGGGGTTCCCTGGAGCCCTTCCTCGGTAGACAGTGGGCGGAACCATGATGTGGAGATAGGAGGGTGGAAGGATGGATGGCATGTGTGTGTGCCCTAGAATGAGCTCCTTCCCTTCTCTATTAACATCCTTGTCATCCTTCACGGGCCAGCTCAAGTCTTCATTCTTCCAAGCAGCCTTCCTGGACTTCTCCAGCTCAAGCTGACCTCCCCTGCTCTAAAATTCCTGCTGTGTATATTAGTGACAGTATCTGCATTCAGTCACCGCGGCCTGCCCCCTTGAATCGTGTAAAACCTCACCTACCTGATGAGACCGCAAGATGCTCTACAGTACTTCTCAAATAATACTTCTCAAATTCTCTTATATCCTCATGTACCCCAAACCCTCAGCACAGCACCGGGCCTCCACAGATACTCCTTGAAGGAACAGGAATTGGTTCTAGGAATGCCATGGTGGTGGGTGGGTGGGTGAGACGGGGTTGACCACAGGCATGTCTCCAACCAAAAACAGTTGGGGAACACCTCACAGCCACAGTCTCTGAAGGTCCAACTCCTTCTGCCCACTGACACTGGAGCAAGTAGAGGGGCTTTTTCAAAATGAAACTGTTGCCCTAGCCGGTTTGGCTCAGTGGATAGAGTGTTGGCCTGCAGACGGAAGGGTCCCAGGTTTGATTCTGGTCAAGGGTATGTACCTTGGTTGCAGGCTCCTCCCTGTTCTGCGACCCAATCAGGGCTCATGCAGGAAGCAACCAATCAATGTGTTTCTCTCACATGGATATTTCTGTCTTTCCCTCTCTCTTCCACTCTCTCTAAAAATCAATGGAAAAATATCCTCGGGTGAGGATAAAAAAAAAGTCACTGTCATGAAAAATAAAGACATGAGACTGTGCTAGATTAAAAGATTAAAGGATCATGATAAGCAAATGCAGTGCGTGAGTCTTGATTAGACTGTGGATTGAAAAAAAAACGAAAATGACATTTTGGGAGATGATAATAGTGTATTGATGTTAAATTTGAGAGTGATGACTGTATTGTGGTCTATTAGGAGAATATCCTTATTCTTAGGCAAAGGAAACTGAAGTACTGATGGGGGTGGGGAGATATGCCATGATATCCACAACTTTCAACCTTTAGCAAAATGAAAATCAAAAAATAAGTGTGTGTGTGGAGAGAGAGAGAGAGAGAGAGAGAGAGAGAGAGAGAGAGAGAGAGCAATTATGGCAACATGTTAACTATTGATAAATCCAGGAGGAAGGAATACAGGTGGTCATTTTACTGGTCTTTCAAATTTCTCAAAATGAAAAGTTGAGGAGGAAATGCCTTTAGTACAAAGAAAGATACAATTCCGACTTCCTGGGAGAACGAGCAGGGGAAGTGCAGCAGTGGGTGCTGTTCCAGGAGCTTCGGGGAAACACTGCCTGAGACTGATCACCACCTCCCCAGCCTTCCACTCCTGCTGCCCAGAAAGCATCAGAGTCTAACCCTGAAGCCTGACTCTCCCAGCCTCGGCATCTTTCCCACCTTCCCCAGCCCCCCCCCCGCCCCCGCAACCCCGCTTAGCACCTTAAAGGTCCACAGCTCTCCCTAGCCGGTTGCTCAGTGGTTAGAGCGTCAGCCCTCGGACTGAAGGGTCGCCGGTTGGATTTCAGTGACATACCTGGGCTGCAGGCTGGCACCCCTACCCCCCCCCCCCTTCCCCATATGCATGCAGGAGGCAACCAATCGGATTTCGCTTTCTCCGTCTCCCCCTCCTTTCTACTCTCTCTAAAAATCAATGGAAAAAATACCCTCGGGTGAGGATTAACAAAAAATAAATAAAGGCCCACAGCTCATTTCCGTGGAGAGTGAGCCCAGCCCTAAGTGGGCTGGCTCACCTTGAGTTTTTAAAAATTATATTCACTTAACTTGACCGAAAAAAAAATTGATGTACAAAAATACGCCAAGATTCAGCCATCCTGCATTCTCTCGGAGCTCTGTCAATGGAGACATTTCCACCTTTGCAAGCAGATCGAGTGCGGGTTTACTGCTTCCCCGCTCACCCTCTATTTCCTGGGGGGCATTTCGCTCTGCCCATCGAAGGCGAGCTGCTTGCAGCGTCGGCACCGTCCTTCCCGAGGTTCCCACGCTGACCTGGTCATGACCCTCTTCAGAAGCAAGGGACTGGCCCGCTCCCTCCCTTCCTCCGCGGGAGGGGTGGAGGGGGCGGGCCGGGCGGAGCCCCGGGGAGGGGGCGGCCCTCCTTCCCGGCGGGGCGTGGGCCGGGCCGGGTCCCCAGGCCTCCGGGCCGTGCCAACAATGGCCTGTTGTGGGAGGAGGCGGGCAGGAATGCGGCCGGGGGAGTCGGGCGGCCGCGGGGCGGGGCGGGGCGCTCTCAGCCGCAGCCTCTTACCTGCCCAGGTAGCTCGCATTTCCCGGCGAGCGGCGACGCCCGCACCACCTGTCGCCCGTCCCGTCGCGCGGGCGGGGAGGACCGCGGGGACATGGCCCGGTAGAGCGCGCGGGGAGACGGTGCGGGGTTCGGTCCGAGGGACGGACGGCCCCGGCCCGGGGCGCGCGGGGCCCGCGGCAGCATGAAAAAGACCCAGACGGTGCAGGGCACCTTCAGCAAGATCTTCGGCAAGAAGCACTCCAGCCCCAACGCCACCTCCCTGTACGCCACCAACCCGCCCTGGATCTTCGCCCAGGAGGCCCCGGACGAGGGCGCCAGGGTCCTGGGTAAGTGCGCCCGGGGGAGAGGACGCGGCCCCCGCGTCGGCTCAGCCCTCCCGGCCGCAGGCTCTCGGCGGGCGCGGGGCGGAGGGGAAGGGACACGTCGGAACCTGCGGACCGGCCGAGAAGGAGCTGCCGGCGAGGGAGGCGGCGCCGAGCGGGCGTCTCTGGGAAAGGGCTGCGGGGGGGAAGAGGCGCGCAAGGAAGGAGGGGACCCCCCCCCCCAACCGGAGGGCGGGGACCTGTGCGGACCGCGGCGGATCCTAGTCTCCGTCCCAGGTGTTTACCTGCCCTCCGCGCTGGAAGGCAGTTAGGGCTGCTGCCTGCAGGCTTCCTGGGGGCGCAGCGGCCCCTCCTCCCCCAGCGGTACTGTTAGTCAGAAGTGCCCCCCACAACTGAGGGCGAGGGGTGACCCCTTCAGCCCTCACTCTTTCTGTTGACTCGCTTCCCCCCGGCCCCTCCCTCCCCCGTTTCCCCCGCCCGCCCAGGGTCTTAGACAAAGGGAGGGTCTGCTCTCTGGGCGCCCACACACTCGGCTCTGCACCGGGGAGGCCCAGGAAAAGCCCAGGGAGCCGCTGCCAGCGGGTACCAGCCTGTGCCAGACACCAGCGCACTCCCTCGGGCCTGGGCTGTCTGCGCGCTCAGATGGAGAAGCTGGGGATGGGACCGGGGAGGCCAGGGAAGCCCCTCCTGACCCAGAGCCTGGCGGAGTCAGGGTGGTGGATGGCTGCAGGCATCTGAAAACACGGTGCCGGCCCGGCCCCGGGGCTCCGGCTGTAGGCCAGCCTATCACTGCATCTTTCTGCGTTTTATACCCTCTGTAACTGCGAGGCAACCAGGCAGGGAAAGGGCTGGAATTCCCTTCTTGCCTATGATCCAAGGCTCTGGGCCCCAGGAGGGTCACCCATCCGTGCCTTAGTTCACCTGCCTTCATTGCCACCCCATTACCTTCACTGACCTTGATGGCCACTGTGCCGGGACCCACAGAGGGTGTTGTAGCCTCAGCCCCTGCTGTTGGATTCAGTTCAGCACCCGGATTGTCACGGCAGGGACACCAGCCACTCGCCACCCGGACAGGAGCAGGGCAAGCAAGCGGTCGCCTCTCCCTGACCGGAGGATCTCACACCAGTGGGTGAACAGTTAACCACACGCCGTTTAGCCCTTCCCAAGCCTTTGCTATAAAAGATTAAGGGCAGAAGGAGAGAGAGGAAAGATGACCTCTGATTGCAGCTAGCATGTGAGCTGAAAGGAAAGGGCATCGAGCACGTTGCAGAACAAACAGCAGGAGCAAAGGCTAGGAGGGGCTGGGCGGCTGGAGGCATGGTTTAGGAATTTACAAATACACGTGTGCCGCCAAGAATAACTCTCCGAGGCCGGACACCTCCCCTCGCCTGTGTAGCAAGCATTTATTGATCCCCTTCGGTGCAAGGTACCATTCTAAAGTCCTCGTGTTGCTGACTCGTGGAATCCTCCGCTATCAGCTAGCCGATGCTGTAGGGACTATTATTATTCCTGCTTGACAGGTGAGGAGACTGAACCACAGGGAGGTCAAGTAACATGTCCAAGATCACACAGCCTTACATGGCCAAGCCAGGACTTTCTTCAGTGTACAATTTAATGATTTTTAGTAGACTGACGGAGTTGTGCAACCATGACCACAACTGGGTTTTAGAACATTCCATGACCCCAACATTTCTCTCAGAGGCAGAGCCAATATTTGAACCCAGGCAATCGGGCTCCAGAGAACATACTTTTAGCCAGTTTGTTGAATTGACTTCGTGGAAGGTAATGCAAGGGTGAATTTGACTTGACGGGGTATCTGCCTGAGGACACACACACACACACTTCTCTACATTTTGTCCTGCACTGAGCCAGCTGCTGGTGGGGATCATTCCCTCCGGTGAGAGAAATGGGGGCATGGTGCATCTCCATGGGGGCATCTCCAACCAGCTGCTGCCTTCACCAGCCTGGGCAGGGGGCAGCTCCTCCCATTACCCAGGGCTGGGCTGGGCCGGCCGCCAGCTGAATCAGCCTGGTCGCGCCCTGCACACGGAGGGGTGGGAGACACCGTGCGCTGCTGGCAGGATGGCTCTCCAGTGTTTGCGGGGTGTTCCACCGGTGCCGGTGGGCGTGGCAGAGGTCCTCTTCCTGCTGAACAGGACAAGTTCTTGGAGCTGGGGATGGGAGGGACCAGGGCTGGAGATTCTATGATGTGATAGAGATTTCAGACCTGCCTTAGGGTCCTGCCTCTGCCAATAATGTGAGGACTGGCCAGTCTCTGGCCTCAATTTTTCCTTCCGTTAAATGGGGATGGTGTCCAGTCTGCCCTACAGATGACTGCTTGAGGTTTGTATATGTTAGTGCTTTGAAGAGCATTAAAAAGAAATGCCCTACAGCAAGGATTGGCAAATTATGGACCTGGCTCAACTCTAGCCCATGGCCTGTTTTTGTAAATAAAGTTTTATTGGAACACAGCCAGCCACACCCACCATTTACATATTGTTTATTGCCAATTTCCTGCTAAAGTGGCAGAATGAAGTAGCTGCAGCAGAGACTCTCTGGCCCACAAAGCTGAACATAATCACTAGTTGGCCCTTTATTATTGTCAGGTTTTTCCCAACGCTGAGCTCTCCCTGCATCAGTTCCTCTGCCTAGCATTGCTGTAGACCAGAGGAAACAGGCATGGAGAGCTATCCTAAGGTCTCCCGCGGTCCCCGAGTCTGTGATACCCTCTGCGATGCTGGCGGCATCCAGCCCTTGGAGAAGGTGGTGGGACGTAGCGGGGAAATCAACCTGGGTGTGAGGGAAGTCAGGAGTAACCGCTTGCTCTGTAACAGTCTGTTTGCACAAGGGCAGGCTGGGTGCAGCGGGTAAAATGCAAACAGTCCGTGAAGGTGGCGATGGATACACTGTTCTTTGAAGAATTTCTCTAACATTTATTCCAGAAGCTGACTTCACTTGAGGGCTTCATGTAATGCAGTTGCAGTCCTAACGAAGCCCCCTGCCTTCCCCCAGCCACTCGAGGGTCTTGGCAAATCCCGAGATGGGTGCTGTGGGCTCCTCCCTGGTCTCTTGGGTTCCCTGAGCCCAGCTTCTTTATCTGCCGCCACCCATCCCAGCCCGGCTTGCTGGGGAACTCTGTTTCCCCTTCAAATGTAAATCACCTTTGTCACAACCACCGAGGACACTTATTTAAAAACTAGAGGCCCGGTGCATGAAATTCATGCACAGGTAGGGTCCCTAGGCCTGGCCGGCAATCAGGGCTGATCGGGAAGGCCGGCCGCTGGCTGGGGCTTGCCTTTGATCCATGCCGCCCCCTGGTGGTCAGTGCACATCATAGCAAGCGATGGAACTCCTGGTCTCCCTGTCAAACTCCCGAGGGGACACTTTGCATATTAGGCTTTTATATATAGAGATGCCGATGTCTGGGGTCCCACATCAGGGATCCAAATCAGAATCGCTGGGCTGGGGCCTGGGGTCTGGATTTTTAGCAACTGAAGATTTGAGAATCCTGGGGTTCCCTTTCCCAGGTGGGAGCTGGGCCGCTCTCTTCCCCTAAGGCTTCCCACAGGTTCTAAATCATGTGTGGGAACTGTGGCCAGCTCCTAATCAATGCTCCTAGGGTGGCTGCTGGTTCTGTCATCCCTGCACCTAGGGTCCCCTGACCTGAGTCTCAGGCCAGGCTAAAGGGTAGAAAGCCATGACCCCCAGAGGCTGAGGACATATTTCCCGCCAGGGCCCAGCTGGCACCTGCCTGCGGAAAGCTGCCCTGTGCGGGGCAGGGCTGAGAAGGAGACTTGTTTACCCCGTCCCCTGGAGGTGTGCTGTGGTTTGCTGGCAGTGAGAACACACACACACACACACCCTCTCTGCTGCCCATTATATAAGCTCCTCTTGTCTCCACAGCTCAGTTCAGAAAGACAGGCCCTCCCTCCACCCCTGCGGACCGGCTCAAGGCGCCCCTTCCCTCCCAGCCAATAAATTAGTAACAATAATAATATTGGCATTATCAGTATTTCCTGAACCAGGCACTATGCTAAACACTACATACATTTTCTCAGTTGAGGAGAGACTCGGAAGGCTCAGGTAGGTTACAGGACTCGCATTTCAGCTCAGGGCGGCTCAAGCAGTAAAGTGCTCCCTGGGACCTGGTTAAGCTCAGATTCTGACGGGTCGGTTAGGGATGGAGGGAGACTGCACTTTCCACTGGTTCCCAGGCGCAGGCCTCCTGCAGGTCAGAGCCTGCTTGGAGTAGCACGTCCCAGCTGGGAAGCTCAGGGCCTGTGTGCTGAGCTCTGTCCCCATCGCTCCCCCCCAGGCTGCTTCCTCTCTGCTCCCCCTCCTCTGCTCTGTGGCTCCTGCCCCACCCCAGCCCTACCTTCAGCGTCCCCTCTGCCCTTGGACAAAGTCCTCTCTCTGGCGCTGGGGTCAGGCCTGCTGGAGCTTGCTGGGACAGACTGGCCTTTTCAGGTTCCTGTCATGTGGGCCTGTTAATTAGCGATGAAGGGCCTCATTAACGCCATTGTGGGTTTCATTCTCATGGGGGGGGGGGGGGGGGACACCTCCCATCCTCCACTGCTTCCCTGAAAAGCTGGGGCTCCCCTGGTGGCCAAGGATTAGATGTTCTACTCAGGGAGCTAGAGGCAGGGGAGGGGGGCTCTGTTTTGGGGTTCTGGGTTACTGTAGGTCAAAGCAACAAGCTCAAGCCCCACCCCTTCTAAGCCCTTGGAATCCAATTAGAGATGTGGCCAGTGCTGCTGGGGTCATCTGGGGCTCCTATCAACTTGGGATTGTACGTCATCACCCCCGCCTTCATCCTATCCCTGCTGGCTTCTTCCCTCCCATCCTAATTTTGAGAGGCTTTCTACAAAATAAGAGTAATTTATCCCAATTTGACAGGTGGGGGAGCAGCCTGAGAAAGTGCTCAAAGCCATGGGGGGGTCGGGTAGGGGGGGTTCTGATTCCTGGGTTCGTCCGTGTCCTCCAGGCCGCACCGACCTTTGAGT